CCCCTCTCTCCCGTGCAGCCCCTTGCGAAACGCGCTCGCACTGCTGCAGCCTCCGGAGCCCGCCGGCCCCACAGGCCGGGCCCTGCCCGTGTCCCCTGGCCCTGCGGGGGCGGGAGGGCTGCAGGCTCTAGGCACCCCCAGCCCCGCAGGGGACAGCGCCCCGAGGCGCTGAGCAGGGCAGACAGGCCCCTGGCCCAGGGCCTGCAGCGGAGATGTGCACGGCACTGACGCCAAGCCTAACCTGAGGTCAGCAGCCTCCGCCCTGCAAAGTACCAGGCCTGGAGGGGCACAAGGAGAAGCCCAGCAAGGGGCTGCAGGCTGCACACGCATGGGGACATCCCCCCTTGCTGTGACCCCCACTAGGAGCTCATCCAAAATCCACTGAGGCCAATGGGAGGCCTCCCTGCAGCTCCCACAGGCTTTGTGTCAGGCCCAGGAAGATGAACACAAAAACCCAGGAGAGCAGGGACACGAGCGCCTAGGGGCTCCTGCTTGGCCCCTTGTACAACCACCTGCACTTGATGGGGGCGGGGAATGAAACACAGGTTAAAGCCACAAGGCAGATGGGGATGAGCTGTGTGCACAAGTCCTCTCATCAGCTTGTGGACCACGCTATTCCTATCACTTCACACAGACTCCTGCCCTGCCCCTGGTCCTGGTCCTGGTCCTGCTCCTGCACTTCCACTACCCATGCAGGTCCCTGACCCCAGCATCATCTGTAGTTTTTTGAGTCCAGCTTGCTGCCCTGGCCTGTCTCTATTCTCTGGCTTGATACCTGTGCCATTGCTAGTGGCCATGCAGATTTCATTCTCACCTAATACTCAGGTTGTCTTTTGGTTCACACTTTCAAAATCTTGAGGTGCAGTTTCTTCGAACCCCCTGTACCCATCTCCTTGAAACTTGGCAGACATGATGCCCTCAGAAGGGGCTACCATTCCCGCATGTTTCATCCACATCAAGCCAGAAATGACAAAGTTATAGGCAGTTTTGTCCTTCCCCATTATAGCCTTGGATGAAACGTCAAAACAGCCTCGAAATGTTTCAACTTGCCTCGTTTTGTTTCGAGGCTGTTTTGACGACATCTATTTCGTTTCGATTTTGCTGTTTCGACCTCGAAATGGTTGAAACTGTCGAAACAAAAACTGGCAGCGAAATTTTGCACAACCCTATTAGTCAATGTACTTAATAAGCCTGTCCTAGGCAGCCTATAAGGCTGGCAGGCACCTTTCTTAGCTCATGACACACACAAGGGAGTGATGAGACTGGCATCACGTCAAGCCCCACTTCAATGCCCAGTCCAAATGAGCAGGTACCTATTTCTAGCTTGGGCAGCTGTGAGTGGCATCTGGTGTAAGTCCACAGCAAGGCTTGAACTCACTTCCAGATAGCGGTGAAGACACTTTAGCTACTCTGCTATTGTATCTTACCCAGTGCCAGTGCAATAGGGTATGATGCTAACTCCTCTGATACACCTAGATCAGTGGGCTGCTGTCTGGAATCTGTTTGCACCTATGCAGCTGCATTGCTGCTCCACCTCCCTCTGAGCCTGTTCAGGATGCTTCACTCTGGATGCACTGGCTGTGAGTGGAATCAATCCGCCTGTGGACGTGCATAATAATGCCAGCCAACTCCTGAAAATGTAGTTGCAAAGAAAGCCTGACTAGCAACTGCTTGAGACCAAGGGAGGAGGGACTTAACCTGAGGGCCTAGTGACTAAGGCTCTTACCCAGGGGGCACATCTACACATGCAATTAATGCACCTGCATTTATTATGCAGTAAATTCAGGTGCATTAAATTTGCCCAGAACAGTTGGAGTATTTGGTACTTCACTGGGGATGACCTTGCTCCTGTCTTAGGCTCCTAGCATATGTTACATATATTATGCAATTGACTGGTTAACCACACAATAAATTTAGCCCTGCCACACAAGCAAAGTAAGACCAGCTGCATGTGCAAAGTAATTACCACATGATAAAAATGACTAGCCAGTTATAAAGACAGGAAACCAGCTACAAAGTTGGCGCTTGAAAATGTGTAACAACCCTGTAGCTGGTGTCTATGCAGCTTTAATCTGAATGTGTAGCATGGCCCTTAGGTATCTCCACCCAGCTGGTCACCTAGTCAAGGCATCTCCAGAGACTGGTTTGTCTTTGCTTTCCTGTGTCCTGGCTGATTTGCCATGCACTAGGAAGTGTCTTTCAACAGGATGCTTAGTGTTCCACATCCTTGGTTTTTATTTACAAAAAAAAAAAAAAAACCGGGGTTATTTCAGGGTTTATTTTTGAAACAAAAACTTGGATGAAATTGGGATAAAAGGAAGAAAAGAGAAAAAAATCGGTTTTAATCAGGGAAAAATCAGCGGTGAGGGAGGGAGGGAGTACGGCTGGGAATAGGGAAGGGGAAGGGGGAGGGGTGTGGCACAGCCTATCGGGCGCTCCCGGGGCTGCAGCAGAGAACAAAGCGGGGGGAGCTGTCAGTGGGTGCAAGGCAGGGGGACGTGGCTATTGTTGCTGCAAGCTGGGGGGCTGTGCCAGGTTCTTCCCAGGGGGCATGTGCTCCCGGATCTGCGCACAAGAGGAGAGCAGGCTGCCACCTGCCCCAACCACCGGGAAGAGCCCAGTGCCACCGCCGGCACCTCCCGTCCCACCCGGGGTCAGAGCTGGGAGCACTGTGCTCCCAGGCAGCGCCTGCAGCCCTGAGGGCCCGTGCGGAGTGGCCGTGTGCAATGCCTGCCACAGGGAGTAGGGCTGGGCTCTCCCACAGCTTCCAGCACCTGTGCAGGGCCAAAGCCAGAGCCGCCGGGGTGCAGCCTCCGCATGCAGCCACCACCACCGCCCCCCCGCATCCGGCAGGAAACCTGTGGCTCAGATAATGGGCGCAGCAGCGCTTTTAGCTTACCGGCACCACCCGTTTTTCAGTTCAAATCCCTGTTAACTGGCACAAGCGGGGAATGGGCCGTCCCCCAGTCATGCCGGTTTCACAGTTTCATAGTAGCTAGGGTCAGGAGGGACCTGAACAGATCATGTAGCCTGACCCCCTGCCACAGGCAGGAATGAAA